CATCGGTGACAAGAGATAAATCTATATTATAAATCCCTTCTGGCATTCTAGTGGGCTTGGTTTCATTCTAATAGTTGCCACTTTGATTTCCTCTATCTTTCCCACTTTTCTTCTGCTTTGACAGGCCCTTTTTCTTTCCTGCCTTTTCCTTTTTTTTTTTTTTTTTTGACAATCCCCAGTTTAAAAATTGTACTTTTGATTCCCAACTGAAGGTTGGATTTCCATAATCCAGATAAACCCCAAATTGGTCAGTCTTTATTGACTTAACTTTGTCTATCATGATAGTGGCATCTGCTTGATGTTTTCCTGTATTATGGTTTTGGATGCATGTCTAAAGCACCATGCCTGTCCTCATGACGTTACACTTTCATTTTTTACCACGCCTTACTGGCCAGCAGTTAAAGTAAAACTAATATAAAACTAGTTTTAGACAGACTGACAGTGAAATCATGCCTACTTCATCCAATCATTAAATCGAGCATTGTTTTATGGTGGTCATAGCTTTGTGTGGGCAGTATAATTTTGTAAACTAATTTGGAAATTTTCATGAACTACTTGGTGAGCAAGCTGTTTTATTTGTCTTCTAAATGCAAAATAAATGGTAAGAGATTACAGCCAACTCCTGCCTAGGCTGAATGAGTATGCCAGTGATGGTACTAGCAGGCTAGTACCATCACTGGCATGACTAGCATTTAGCATGCCACTAGGATGCTGATGCCAGTCAGTAGAGTACTTCCTGCTAATTAATGCTAATGTCCAGCTTATCCTGATGCCATGCTCGCTTCTGACATTAACATCCCATCTTTGCTGTCACTCTTGAACCAATAACCACTGACAGGCTGCTAATGCCATTACTAGCACAGTTATAAGCTTTCTGACCAAAACTAGCATCAGCTTGTTATACCCATTAGTTTGTTTTGCATGCATTACAATACTGTTATGTACACCATTGAGAAAAGAATGTGGAACAAAACTGTTAGTTTAAAATGCGATCAAAACGAGCCCAAATAATCACTCCTCGTATATCTCTGCCAAAGTGCAGTTTGGAATCCTCCAAACAGAAACTCTGCCTATAACCAAACATGATTGTCTGTCCAGATGACGATGTCTCAGACATCTGGTTCATTTCAAGACATCTTAAAAATAGAATCATGTTGCTATTTTCTGTCTAACAAGAATAACTTGTCTCCCGTCAACTCTGTCTAGCAGCACGTGTGTTAACTGTCTTGCTAATTGATCTGTCAAAAACTTTAACATCTAAAAGGCTAACTAAGTGAGAGAATGTGCTCTGGGGTTTTTTGTAATTATTCTCAGCTTTATAATCCAACAATTGCTCTAAGAGGATACAAGCAGTCAAACAAATTATCTGCTAATCAGTGAAATGATCTGAATTGTTTTATATGTCATTCTATCTCCTCCCAGTTTATTAAACGTTTATTAAAATCTGTCCCCTCATTGCTGGACCCTTTTCACCTTGGTCTTGTTTGGGCAAACCTTTATTCTCCAGACTAGCAAAATGTTAAGATGGTCACAGGTCAAGGTCTTTGTTCCTCAGCCCTATAGATCTACCAAAGATGATCCCTTTAAGAAATGAGGAATGGAGGAATTTGGTTTGCTTGTAGGGTTAGATTGCAATATTAGAACCTGGTAACAGCGTGGGTATTTAAGTTTCCTGAAACATTTTTTTAGGGTAATGTAGTTTCTTCTTTCTTCGGGCCCTTTGATACGGGCTGTCAGGTCCCTGTATGACCGGTGTCAGAGTCTGGTCCGCATTGCCGGCAGTAAGTCGGGCTCGTTTCCAGTGAGAGTTGGACTCCGCCAGGGCTGCCCTTTGTCACCGATTCTGTTCATTACCTTCATGGACAGAATTTCTAGGCGCAGCCAAGGTGTTGAGGGGATCCGTTTTGGTGGCCTTAGGATTGCGTCTCTGCTTTTTGCAGATGATGTGGTCCTGTTGGCTTCATCAAGTCGTGATCTGCAGCTCTCGCTGGATCGGTTCGCAGCCGAGTGTGAAGCGGCCGGGATGGGGATCAGTGCCTCCAAATCCGAGGCCATGGTCTTGAGCCGGAAAAGGGTAGAGTGCCTTCTCCGGGTCAGGGGGGGTGTCCTGCCCCAAGTGGAGGAGTTTAAGTATCTTGGGATCTTGTTCACGAATGAGGGAAGAAGGGAGCGGGAGATCGACAGGCGGATTGGTGCAGCGTCTGCCGTGAAGCGGGCACTGTACCGGTCCGTCGTGGTGAAGAGAGAGCTGAGTCAAAAAGCGAAGCTCTCGATTTACCGGTCGATCTACGTTCCTACCCTCATCTATGGTCATGAACTCTGGGTCATGACCGAAAGAACGAGATCGCGGATACAAGCGGCCGAAATGGGTTTCCTCCGTAGGGTGGCTGGGCTCTCCCTTAGAGATAGGGTGAGAAGCTCGGTCATCCGGGAGGGACTCGGAGTAGAGCCGCTGCTCCTCCACGTCGAGAGGAGCCAGTTGAGGTGGCTTGGGCATCTGTTTAGGATGCCTCCTGGACGCCTCCCTGGTGAGGTGTTCCGGGCACGTCCCACCGGGGGGAGGCCCCGGGGAAGACCCAGGACACGCTGGAGAGACTATGTTTCTTGGCTGGCCTGGGAACGCCTTGGGGTTCCTCCTGAAGTGCTGGAAGAAGTGGCTGGGGAGAGGGAAGTCTGGGCCTCCCTTCTTAAGCTGCTGCCCCCGCGACCCGACCCCGGATAAGCGGAGGAAGATGGATGGATGGATGGATAGTTTCTTTATACTGTGACTGTATGCTATGTGATTCCAGCTTTATAAGTCATTCTCTAACAGAGCTGTATATTGGCTCCCAGATGTCTTTTAGAATAAAAAACGTCTAGTTTATACCATTTAAAAAGCCAGCTTGTACCTTATTTGGACTAAGATAAATGGATATTTAAGCCTACTCTCAAATATTCAGTTCTTTCCGTGAGGGTTCTGCATGCAGTCTATTCGAAACACCAGTTTGTTATGAGATTACATGTAGACATTTTTACCTTTATTTTCTGCCCAGTGGGGATTATTTTACTTCAGGCTTTTGCCACATGTTCTAGTTATCAGCTTCCAAGTGTTTTTCTTTTTAAAGCTGCTCTACATTTTCTCTTTTCTAAATTCCTGTGGTTTAAATCATTTACCTCTGATTTATTTATTTCAGCACCACTTCTTCTGTTTCTCATACTGTATGTTCACACCTTTTTTTTTTACCCCGACTATTTTAGGCAATTATAAATATTCCATTCTCCATCCTCCCTCGTTTTTATTCCCCGAGGAACAATTTGAATCCACCTCCCTGCTTTCTCCCCTCAGTCCCTGTCAGTTTGTCTTCTGTCACCCATCCCTCCCTTATCTCAGCTTCTCCTAAGGTGATTTCAGTATAGCCTGTCATCCATCTTCCCTCAGTCTCTCCCCTCCCCATCCTGACATCTCACAGCTTTCATTTGTACCTCATATTCACCTCATTGTCCCTCCTAACTCTTATTATAGCTCTTCATTTATTTTTATATCCCCAATCAATGCTCTGTATTCAGTGCCTTCCTCCATCCTTTCACCACTAATACCCCTTCTCTATGCTGCTTGCTTCTTGGTGCCTTCTTTATAGTACCTAAGGGAAGCAACAATGAATGTCTATAATAGTGCCAGCTGAAATGTAGGAAATACTGTCATGAGTCTCTACTTATTCTTTCTTCCTCACTGTTTCAGCTGCTGTTTTCCTCCAACAACGGTCCCAGCTATTAAAGTTTCATCAGGCTCTGCTTGTAAATTCAGTGGCAGTAAACTGTGTGTGCTAACATAATTCATGAGTCAGGAAGTGGTATTGAACATGTAAGTACACCAAACAGCTAGAAGCCACTCCATATATTTAGAGACTTGTTTCCTTCACCTGAATCAGATCTTGGTTCTGTCAGTCAGTTTGTCTGGATTTTGGTCTATCTCAGATTAATTATAAATTAAGGAAAATGTTCATCCATTTAACCAGTTTAAAGTCCCTTAGAGGTGTATTTATACCCCTTGAACTGTTTCACATTTTTGTCTCAAACTGTTTTTAGTTGGGATTTTGTGATAAAACCACAAAGTAGTAGATAATTATAAAATGGAGTGAAGTAATTTGGCTTTTTAACCAGAGGTCTGGTTAAAAAGCCATTTAATTTTGATGTCTTGGAGAAGGAACTTTGCTTGGGTTTCTCTATTTGGACTATTATGCTGAATCTTTGGTTATGTTTAACGTCTGTTTCTTCCACACCACTCTCAGGTTTTAAGGATTACTCTGTAAAAAGCTTTTATCCCTTTCCATCAATCCCAACCATTGTTTTTGCTGCTTTATTATACTATGGAAGAATGCCCTCACACCATGATGCTTCTACTGCCATGTTTTGCTGTGTGGATGGTCCTTTTACCTGTGTGGGTTCCTACAACTAAAGTGTTTTGAGTTTGGAGCAAAAAATTATTTTGGGTTTGTCTTGATGAAAACATGAAAACAATCTGTCCTTTTCTCTCATGCCACAAAATCTAGATTGTTTATCATAAAAAATCATAAATACATTAGATTTTTCAGTTGTAATTTGACAAAAGTGAAATGCTGTAGGTACCTCTGTAGGCCATCATATACCCCCATATTACCTTTTAAACTTTTTATATTTCTTTTTCTCCACTTGTAGATGTATTTCTCTAATTTATATCCTGATACAATTCACCTCAAGGTTTTTCGTGTGGCACGGTGATGTTCATAAATTATATACTACCTATGCACCTCTTTCTAAACCTGACATCACATTTCCTTCATCCCTTAGTTTCTGCTTCTTAATAGCTAAAATGAGCAGCGTCAAGTGTCATAGTGTAAAAGATAAGAATTTAAAGATATTTACCGTAAAGGAGTTTAACTTTTTTTTTAAAGATGGGGAGACGATGTGGAACAACTTGGATGCTAAAATCAAAACTGAAACCAGAATAAAATCTGATTGTTGTTGAATAATATCAGACTGACCTGTAGATGAGGGTCTCGTCGGCAGTGCAGTTGTATTGTATCTGATACATCCACACGACATATGCTTCGGACAAACGTCCCAAATCCCATTGCACCTGAGCTGAAGTGGAGGTCACTCCCTGTACTCCAACCATCCTGCCCTCCTCCTCAGTCCCCTCGTCGTCCTCCATGCTTCCTCCGTCTGCCCTCTCCCCCTCAGAAGACTTTCCACTCTCTCCTTCGTTGGCCTCCCCATCCCCTACATTTCCATCCTCTGCTTCTGCCCCTCGTCCCGCTCCATTGTTTATCCCTCCGTTTTTGCCCGTGCTGATATCCGATGAACCTGGATCTGTCCGTAAAATCCCACTCGTGACATTCCTGTTGTTTTTGCCATTAACAGCATTTACCCCAGTGTTTCCTCCGACCCCGCCTCGATGAGGCAGGGGGATTATTTTCAAATCCACTGCAGCGGTTGCTTCACCTGCTGCATTTATCGCAATACACGTGTACGCCCCATCGTCCCGGGCAACGGTGACCAAGATATCCAGCGTCCCGTTGCTGAAGGAACTTGTCCGAGATGAGTTGGAAACTATACGATCATCTGGAGAAACCCAGTGGATTATTGGCTCAGGGTCTCCTATGGCACGGCATTTTAGTGTGGCGCGCTGTCCCTCCAGCACCCACAGCTTGTGGGTGTGACGAGTAATTAGAGGTGGCTCGCAAGTGAACTCCTCCTCAGGGATTGACCAGAAATACCTACAAGAAAAGGAACCAGACCAGTGGGATGGGAATTAAGAGAAAAAAAATCAGATTCATAAAATATATTTCAATCTAAAACAGGCTCTTCATTAATAAAGGAGAGTCAAAGATCAGACTGTTGTATACAGAATGTGTAATGCTACACTGAGCAAACGCTAATTAACGACAGATGACAGTAACAGATGCTCACTTCATTTGTCCTTCCTGCCTGATTGTTATCTACAGAGTCTATACATTTCTTAAATGCTGTAGACAGACTTTGAGATTACCCTTCATGGGGGTCCTAGGTTACTTTTCCTGAGCATACCAGATACGTTCCTGGAGCTTACTGGCTAATTTGCAACTCAGTTTTAATTACAGTGGAGGACAAAAAAAATCCAAAGTTTCAAAGCAAGCACATGCTACATTAAAATCCATTAATGTAGTCCTAAGATGACTCTGAAAGGATTGACTTAGTCAGTTCAATGCACGTTCCAGAAAGCGGTTAGTGCCTGGTTAGCTCAAGTGGTAGGTCACCCATCCTGCAACCAGGACGCCTGGGTTTGTATCCTGCTGACCTGCACTGCCAGTGTGGGTCCTTAGGCAAGACCCATCAGGGGAGTGGCAGCCTAGTGGTTAGGGCATTGCGCTTGGAATCCTGAGGTTCTGGGATCAATCCCCACCCCCACAGACTGCCGCTCTGGGTCCCTGAGCAAGACCCTTAACTCTAAACTGCTGCCCTGGTGCTGCACAATGGCAGTCCACTGCTGGGTTAAATGCAGAGAGTTTTTTTTTTTTTTTTTTGACAGTAAAATGACAAAATATTGGATCAAAAAAAGTACTTGATAAATAAGTACTTGAGTTTCGGAGAAGTAGCACTCCACCCCAAAGTTCTTGGAAAGATGTGCTCTAAATAAGTTAAGTTAAATAAGAAAGTAGTCTATAAGTTTTGAAAATATATAGGCTGTATTATGTCGTACCTCCGGTCATTGTTCAAATAGTTGTTTAATATTTTAAACAATTATAAATAAATTTTAAGTTTACAGCTTCAAATCCAATGTTTTCCAAATCATAGTGACAATAATTTATACATTTGTTTTGGAATGGGCATGATTGAACGGTGGAAGTGCCTGGATCCTACCTTCCAGCCAGGTGAGTAGGTGTGGCACACGTCTCCATGTCGTCCCCCCTGATGAGCCTCCTTAACCACAGCAGCTCACAGTTACAGTGGAGTGGATTCCCCCCAAAGTTTAGGCTTATGACAGCATTGTAGGGTGTTGGACTAATGGCTCCCGTCTGTGATCTGATAAAAAGGAAAGTAGTTTGACAAATATTTGTATGTCCTAATGGACTTATTATATTCTAGGTGATTGGACTTTAGTTAAACTCACATTTAAAGTCACACTGTCATTACAACATGCCTTTCCTCTTTACATACATTGCTTATTTGTACTCTTATATGTGCAATAGAGAAAGAAGACAAATCCCTTCATTATGGGCAACAAAAATTACTTTGGAGTTGACTCTGATAAGAAGTAAAGTCCTTTCTTTAGGTGCTGATTTTTACATGCACCTATTTGCAGCAGGACTGTTTAGAAAACCAGGGCTTCAACCTAATTTTTTCAGAAAAATTAGACCAAAGCAGTAAGACTCAGCACCATGGTTGGTGATTTTAACTTGTTTTGAAACTACGAAAATATAGCTACTTAAATTTGCTTTCATATGGCTTAAAATCTAATGAACAGCAGGGCTTCCTTAATAATTACATTTTGAAGAAAACATCTAATTACATATTTACTTTTTAATTAGCATGCATTAAAAATGAAAAATCGACTTTGGTTATTATTGAATTTACACCTGTAAGTTAAAGTGAGTGCATTAGTAGTTTTTAGAATAAACTTGAATAAACAGCTGCTGTTTTGGATAGTCAAAAATAGAATATATGTACTCTGTTACAACTCACAGTGAAAGACCACATTAGTAGCTCAGCATCCTTTTCCCACCTGAGCATTTTTCTTCACAATATCAAAAGAAGAAATCTTAACATGTACCTTGCAAAAAATGGATCAGGTGGCAGAGTTCTGAGCCGGTTAGAGGTCATATCCAGCCGCGCCAGCTTATAAAGCTCTCCAAAGACTCCTTCAGCTATATTGTCTATTAGGTTATGGTCCAGGTTCAGAGTGTGGAGACTGGCCATGTTCTGAATAGACTCCCATGGTACCCTGTTGGAATAAGATTAGGTTTTTGTTAGACTGATTCCTTAGAGATACTTTTAATAAGTAAACTCATGAGAGAGTCATGCACTTGTCTGAGAGGGGAAGGATGAGGTATGTATGTGAAACTAAAGGCAGCTGTGAAGACTGACCATTTGATCGCCTGCCTCTGGTGGATAGAATAAGCTATGGGTTAAAGAACTGATCAGATTATCTGGAGTTTTGTTTTTGTTACATTATTAAACTATCAGTTAATAATAATGTTGACAGATGATCAGAGGTTTCGAAGCACAACTTTGATTTAAGTCATTAAGCATCCTGTTCAGTTTGTTTGAAGTATGACTTACAAGTGAGAAAACAGTAAAACATGAACTTGTCTTTGTAAAGGTATTTTTCATTCTCTCTCTTTTTTTTCTCGTACTGTTTTCTTTTCAGTGTTTTCTTTTTCTATCACAACTTGTTCGTCAGAGTTTTTTCCAAAGTGCATCATTGAAATAAGGCCGTAGCGGTTCTTTCATTTGATGTTGAACTGTAAGGATAATGTAGTGGAAAGAATGCATTAGTTTTGGTAATGAACAAAGACACTTTTGCTTCTTGCTCACTCAGAAGGTAGGTGAAAATTCACATCTTTAGCACACGATCAGCATCGTTCTGCTGTTGTGAATGTTTTCCGAATGGAGCGCAATGGAGGTAGGCGGAGGGAGCATGAAGAAATGTGTGCATTCTGCTTTGGAGTAAAAAAATGCATTAGCAGGATGCTTTACTGTTCTCCTAGAAGTTTCTTATGTTAATATCAGTCCATTCTAGTAATCAATATCGTTTTTTAAACCGATAATTTCACTGCAGTTGAAAATTAGGAAATAAAATGTTTTGTTTCACAAATTATTGAAAGAGTTTCATGACTCGGCGAGTCCTATGGACACAACTTTACGCATGCGTGTTTCTAGACATGGTAAAAATGAACTGCTGAAGTTAAAATGAAAGGCCAATCTGGATGTTTGTTAACATGTTTGCACCAAAGTAACAGGTCTATGCACTTCAGAAACTAGCTATCCTCTGTTTTTGATACTTAACTATTAATTAACCTGGGAGGGAATGATCTGCAGATAGAAAAGATCCAATGTAGAGGGGTTTCCTGGGCAAAACTGTTATGCCCGTCTTGTGTTGCTTACTCTAGCAGGATATGGCACTTTAGTTCAAAGCTCAAATAGTCTCAAACTTAATCCCTAAAAGTTAGTTTACTTTATACCAATCTTCTCTCTAGTCATCAGATTTCAGGCATTCTGAGTATAAGCAAGATCATGCTTGGATATTGTCATAATGGGGATGCAGGCGACAGTTTCTTCTACTGCTAGATACCATCCTGTCAAAATGGGCTGAAATATACGCTTTTAATTAAATCCCTGCCAAAATGAATTGAGAAAAGTGAAATCCAGTTATAGGAAAGTTAACTTGAGAAACTGTCTAAGTTTACATAAAGCTGATTCAAAGTTGATCCATATTTACAATGTCAACCCTTCCTTTTAGACTTGGCATTCACACTGCATATTAGCCTCAAGTTAGAATGTAAGTCCTTGCTCCATTTAAGATCATGATTAGCCTCTTTTCCACCTTTTGACACCTAGCCAGTATCTATAAGCCCCTGACTTGCTTACCTTACACACTCGATCGCTTCCCTTTGGTTCTGTAGGCTTTGATGAATGGCTATGGTACTAGCAGCAATATTAATGCTAAAAAGGCCTTTAATGCAAATATAGATCATTGCAGGTAACTGTAGTTGACAAATGGTTTCAAGCACTGCTTCCTTTTAAAGTAATTCTGCTCTTTTAATTCAGTCAGAATGACGGAGCGATATCAGCTGCCCTCTCTTAATTAACACCTTCTCTTGAACAGTAGAATGACTGAATGCTTCTTGTAGGTCATTTGGTACCAGGGCGGGGAGGCAGTACAGATGAATTGATTTTCATCTTTCTGCAGCAGTTAGCATCTCATATTAACCGAAAATCGTTACAAATTACCATTATATAAACTGAAGCTGTTATGCACAATATTTTTTTTCTTGTATGGCCATTTATATGCAAGTTAATTTTGAAGTTCTACCTTGATAACTCAGATCAGAGGAAGGTCTTGCTCATTATAACTTGTTTCCAGAGCGAGTATTTTTAACCGTATGGGGAAATGTGACACAGATTCTTCAATGCTTAGAATAGACGCTGTAGTCAGCAAGCTATGCAAGCAGCACCTGCAACTCTGCATTTTCAAGGGTTGGCAGATCTTAGAAAGGCCAAGGTGCTCACTCTTGGGACGATTTAACCATTTAATGCCAACCTCCGGCTGCTGAAATCTTTTGCATTGTATAGTGCCTTGAAAAGACGGGAGGACTGATTATTCAGCCAAACTGGTTTAGTCCTGAATAGTAGTGAATCAGTAAAAGTCGTCCATTGTTCTATAATGACGTTTGCAAATTATTACATTGTGCGCTCCAGTTTGAATTATATACAATATCCATAGTAATGCACCGTCATTCAGGGGCGTAAGCTTCAGAATGCCCTCATTGAAACCCGTACTGAATCAAAGTGAAAGGAAATTATAACCTTGTCTAAATCAATTTAGTTTGGCGCTTTCAGTCATCTTCTAGCCTCAGCAGTTTTAGCACGCCTTTTTTGTCTTCATTGAGTCAGACTTTAGACTTTCGCTATTGTTCCATTTGAATTATGGAGTTTTGAGTCTTGTTCATTTTTTTTTTTTTTTTTTTGTGAGCCAAAGATCATCACTGCAGTGAGTCGTTCTGATTGTTGTATAAGGTTTCCTGTCAGTGTTGCGATAATTTGCTCTTTTACTGTATATATTAGCCTTATTAAATCTACCAAAAGGATACATTTTCTTACCCAGTAAGGGAGTTCAACTATACAACTTAAAGAAACAAGTTCACTTGTTTTTTGTTCAGATCAAGATCTGTTTTTCAGGAATAATCAAAGCTCATGAACGACGAAACGTATGCCACACAAAAGAGTATTATCAGGCATAGGTAAATAAAATAACAGGATCATGGCTCTATCATACAACTAATATAGGAAAATAAAATGAACATTGCAAAGAGTGTAAAAGCTGCTTACTAAAAAATGCTTGTTAAACTTGTCATCCAGGTCATTGCAACAACAAAACAGGCTTAAACTGGAGGCAACAAGACTTTCATAAAAATGAAACAAGACTAGGCATCAAAATCTTTTTGTAAAATTATTAAATTTGACTTGAAACCACATGCTTTCACTTAAGGGGACCATTAGGTTCATAAATTTATTGTGCCATTATCCTGCATTAACAAAAGCTTGTTCTATGTTTGATTACCACGCTTTTGTGGGGTTTTCCTTTAAAACTCCACAGCAGGTGATGCTCTTAAAGTCAGAGGAGTCCTGAACGTGTCTGCCAGGTTAACTTGACAGTTTGTCAGAAATTCGCAATGTGTAAATATGACTTTTTAGGGTGGAGTGGCGGCTTAGTGGTTAGGGCATTGTGCTTGGATTACAGAGGTTCTGAGTTCAAGCCCCACCTCCAAAGACTGCCAATCTGGGTCCCTGAGCAAAGAACCTCAACCCCACACTACTCCCCGGGAGCTGCGCAATGGCAGCCCACTGCTCCCCGAGGGGATGGGTTAAATGCAGAGAGTTAATTTCTTTGCAGTTGTGACAATAAAGTCGAATTCGTCTTTTATTCTATCCCAAGTGTATTTGATCAGGCAGCTCATTGATTGTCAGACAAAATCTGTTGGTACTTGTTTACGTCTCTGAACCTCAGCTCATCACCAAGAGGCTGTGGAGTTTTTAGGGAGTGATCGGACGGTACTGACCAACCAATCAGGAAGTTACTTCAGGGAATGCAAGCAAAGCATATTATTTGGATGCGAGTATTGAGTCAGATTTTAATTTTAATGTCACACAGTCGATGAAAGATAAATCAATGTTCTGGCAGAAGTTGACTCAAGTTCAAGTTTTTTCCATTAATAAAATAATTTACACTTAAGTAATGGTTCAGCATTGATAATTTTAAAAGAAAAGCTTAAAAATATCCTAGTTTCCTTAGGCAGAAACTATCAAACACAATCATCCAGAAGATAATTTTCGACACATCGAGTTTTCTTTTGAGATTAACACTGAGGTCTACACCACTATTGTAAAGAATATCACATTTTGAAAGAGGAATCTGGGAAGATCACTAGAAATGGGGAAAATGTCTTGTAGGTGGAAGAGGAAATGTATCTTTTCGGCAACTACACTCTGTTGCACTATTGGCATACCACTCTACACAGAAGAGATTAATAGATGTCAGCCATGTTATCAGAAAACTCTATTTCTCAGCCATTTGAAAAGGTTATGGGTGTTGAATTTTTGCTTGCTAGCCTGACATCAGAGTTTTACTGAAAAAAGTAAAAAGATCTTACCTCCTAAGATTATTGTAGGACATGTCAAGGTCTTCCAGAGTTAGTAGGAAGTCATCAAAAGCCTCGACAGAAACTTTCACAAGCTGGTTGTTGTTTACTATCAGATGTTGCAGGTTGGTCAATCCTGCAAGGTCCTTGGGTCCAAGTGTTGTTAATCTATTACCTAAACAACACAATGCCAGAATATGTTTTATGCAAAAATCTGCTTGGGTAACATTGTAACTCAAAGCGCTTGGAAAAATGTCTATAGCTTACCATCCAGGTGCAAAGAGCGCAAACTCTCCAGGTCAGCAAAGGCCATCGGTCGAATTTGATGGATTGTGTTCCTCGACAGAGTGAGATCTACCAGTCCAGTCATGTTGACAAAATCATTGCCGCCCACCTCTGTTATGAAATTGTCAGCGAGTCGCAGCTCCACCGTTCGCCGGTCGACATGCGGTGGTACAAAAAGCAGGCCCTTATCGGCACAGAGCGTGCTCAGCGACTCTGACAGGTTACGACACACGCAGTGGAACGGGCAGGCAGACACAACACCCCACGTCTCTCCCGCTCCAATCAGAGAGGGCAGCAGGCAGCATGTGACTAGCGTCAGCCAGTGAGACACCGGGAAAGTAAAAGCTTCTGGAATCGTTCTCTTGGTAGAAGTCCTGGCGCATGCACAGTGGTGGAGTTGGGATGAGGAGGACAATGATGAGATGAATAGAGGGGGGAGAAATGAGAGGGAGAGGATGGATAAAGGGTATAGGGAGGAAGAGGTTGAGCCCTCTGCTTTTTGTTTAGGGTGGTGTGTTTGGGGCAGGTGTGTTTCTCTGCAGGGATTGAGGGGTGGGGGCACAAGCATGGTAGATCGCCTGGCTTTCCACAGACCTGTAGAAAGAAGGAGAGAAGAATAAAAGACGATACAATTTAGAATCGCAATAACAGAACAGTAAATGTACTTTAATGACACAAAATATTGGGATTTATCCAGTTTGTTACCCGTATGTGTATGGTTATCTATATACTATCTAACCATAAATGATTTAGACCACAACATAGCAGGATTGCTTTCTTCTTACTCAGCAAAGCTGGAAAGAAGTGTTTTGTTCATCTCATGCTATTGTAAAGGCTTGCTATTGTATGGCCACTTATTTCTTCATGAAATTGCAGAAATATCCATATTTTGAAATGGTACAATAATTGCCGTATTTTTTTTTTGCACTTGAGTGCCGGCACTATTTTCAGATATTTTCACATCACCTAACAAGTCACTATGTGGTCCACAAGGTAGAGTTGTTTTTAATAATTTAAATCCATTAATGTTATGCCTGAAAAATGGCTAAGGCCAGCTCTGGCATTTTTATAGGTATACATTTTTCTTTTTTTTTTCTTTTTTGGAAGTATTTTACTTGTTTATGGATTAAAGTTATATAGAAAAAATGAATAAGTTTAAATACATTTTACCATGTAACCAAGTAATACTTGGAGCTTTGATTTTTATTTTTCTGAGCTTAGAAGATGTTTGAAGTCACCACTATTCTGCAATTTAACTTTTCTAGTTGCATTCTAAATTCAGGGGATGTCCTTGATACATTTCTGAAAAGGGAATTCAGAAAATCTGCTAACTACACCCTAATTTCATCTGCTAATGCCAATTCAAGCATGCAAATGTCGTCATATGGATATTAATGTTGTGATTTTCCAACTAAAAAATATTAAAGCAGCTTTCTAAATGCATCAGTAACTTGGCCTCCTACTTCTATTGATTTTAATTTTGTGGGCAAAGGTTAATTGTTAGTCTGAATTATGTAAAGAATACTTTAAGGGAAGCAGAATTTGTTTAGCCCTGTGTTAAACTGATTAAACATATTGTATTGTGACTGCAGTCCATTTGTATAAATAGGTTGGAAGTTGTGGTTGAATTCAAAATGTTTCCCCTCAAATCAAGAATTTAAAGACTGGACAACAAGATTATGCTAGATTTCCAGTGTATCCTGCTAATTTATACAACATATAACTGGGGATATTTGATGCATAATTATAAAGCACTGGGACACAGGTTAGAAATATAGAAAAGCCTTTTTGTAGATCACCTTAGTAAGTTGAATGAATGAACACAGCCTTGATCATTGAAAATGGCTCTATAGAAAACTGGGAATGGTCATCCAGATAATAAATTACTGAGGAGGAATTGGAAGAGGCACCTTGTCTTCAAACCCCTGGCCTGACAGCCAAATCGAGTGACGCTGTTGGTCTCTAAGGTTGACGCTATAAAACCCACAAAAAGAACCGTGTTGTAAATCGGAGACGTGCAGAAAATCTGCCAGTAAACACACGTTTTGTGGCTTTGTGATAAGGTACAAGAATGACTCACTGCAACTCATTGGCATGCACAACAGTTGTTATAGCAACTGTAACCTAGATACGGAGTTTGACAGGGGTTGACAGTTACAGTTTCACTTCTAGTAAAAAGTGAAGATGACATTTTTGAATCGGAAAGACAAAGAGGCATCTCTGGAGAAGGATGCAGTGTCTCTAGGGTGGTGCTGCACGGAACATAGACCTTGGTGATTATATATTGATGTACAGTATAATACATGCAAGCTTTGAGACTTTGACTAACGACCAGGCAGAGCCATGCATCATCCTGACTGTTACAGGCTGACGCAAATTGCTACTTAATAGTTTCCATAGCTTTGCTCTTTCTGTGTGAAGCTATGATGGTTTGCAATCCATCTTTGATATCAAGGCGGTGTTGGTATGGAAGTCTCCACCCTACTCCACATGCTTTGCTCTGTTCTCAAAATGTGAGCTTGGTACAAAACGGGCCGACTTTTTTTTTTTGGGCTCCCATGAGATAAAGGGGAGAAAGTGATAAGACGCTCTCTGCCGGAAACTATTATAAATTTTATCTCCGGCTCTTAAATGTTCTCACTTAAAGCAGAGTGAGGGAATAAAATAAGCAGTGCAGCAGTATAATGATGGGAATAGATTCCATTAATTTGAGCCATTATGAATAGTTCTGTTAATGGGATGCATTTTCCTTTAAGACATTTCAGCAGAACTTTTAGCCAGTGGGACATTAGGTCTTGAGGGGCAAAAAAAAAGACTTTTTAACTCGATTGTGATGGTTAAAAACACCTCTGTCCATTGAGCAGAATGTAAATGCACAAGTGACAACACATGCTGCTTCGTTTCTCAGTAGTTAGCCCTAAATGATTAAGTGACGTATTATGAGAAACGGTAGTGACTCTGAAGTTGGAGTTTTTAAAAGACAAATAGGCACTGAAGCTTAGTTATTTTGAGATGCTTGGTTACAATATACTTGAGGAAAAAGGTAGGAGGAAATGTCTGGAGTAAAAGGTGGTGGGGTTGAGTGCGTGGGACAAAGTTATGAATGCCTGCAGTGACAGCTTGTCCTCAGGGCAGTCGGTGTTGGAAGTCAAAGCCTTCTCAGCCCCTGCAGAGGGATGCATACTAAAACATGGCTGTGTAAATATGGATTTGCTTGTGTGTATATGTGCTTTCAAAGCATCCCTGTCTTTTGAACTTTTTTTTTGTTTGCATTTTCTTCTCATAAAAAAGTACAAACTTTAGCGCAAATGTTTGATTTTATAGACTAACACAAACAGAGGTGACAGGAAATTTCTAGCTCTCAAAATCTTTTGGTGGGGAAAAAAATAGAAATGTTGAAAATTCTTCTAATCTGTTGTCTTTGATTTTACACCTTTTAATCAAATCTCAACACTTAAGAAAAAGAAAATGGAATGGAATAAAGTGACCAGAATGCTTAATGCAGACCCTCCAACATAAGGACCTTCACTCAAATGTTAACAGACCAATTGCAGCTATCGAAGAGCTGCAGAGAGCCAAATTCAGTCACGTAGGGTATAACCGTAAACAACTGGAGGAACTAAATACCAATGCATGCCACATTTTTAGGAATTTTATTTGTGGAAAAAAAGACAAAGGCCGTATCCGTTATTACAGCTCACAATATTGCAGGACATATGTTGGCCTTCTCGTGTAACATCACAGTAGGGTGCAATAAACTGACGTGAATAAGTTCAAGAGCTTCATTCACCCCTATAAGGTGAAATGTGTTTGAAAAACGAGTTGACTTGATGGTTGTCCCTGGAAAGCTCCGTTATCAGATGATGGGGATTTTTTGTTGCTTTAAGGTGAGTGTGTCTCTGCTCCTTTGTTTGACCTTATTTTTCTTTCACCCACTCGTTCTCTCTATCACTCATATATAAAGCCTCCTGCTGTACATTTATCTATACTGTCTCTAATTTCTAGCTCTCCTTGTGTGAAGCCCTCGCATCCATCAACCCCAGGCATGCCTGCTCTGTTTTAACCTCCATACCTCTCTGACTCTATTAGTGTATAGCCATGGATTGTTACCCCTTCCCTCCTCTCCATCTACCTGCAGTTCCTTTCACCCGTCTCTTCATCCTTACTCAACTTCCATCTCCAAACCATTTCCGCTTCTGGCTGCTCTGGCTTCCACTTTTCTCTTCCTTTGTCTCATTCTCTTTTTCTTTCCTCACTCTGGTCCGTCCTTGAGGCAACCTGAGTACGACAATGTTATCAGTCACAGCTCTTCTTCGCCATCTTTTCCTTCACCACCTTTCATTTTGTCTCGTCTGTCACTTGCTGACTCGGCTGCTGACCTCCACGTCTCCTTTCCTCCTCTTGCTCCTACGTTTAATCGTTATGCACTCTCATGACTTCATGCACCACATAGGATTTTTTGTTATCCCTTCTGTGCCCTGCCTGTCTCAGAGCTGCGGTCCTGCTCACTTTCCCCTTCATTTATCTACGTACTTCCCCGACCCATCTCTCTGCTCCCCATCTGCCTCATCACTTGATTATCCTGTAGAGTCATTTTTCTCCCTTTCCTCTTCCCACTCCTGCAGACTTTTTGTTTCATTTTGCACCTCTGCATTTCTCTCCCCCTCCTTTATATATTGCGCCCAGATCTCATTTGCAGACTGAGAGTGCAGTGCTGAAGCTTTCTGATGGGGTGTGCTCACAAAGTTGGATGTAACGGATCCCTTCACTCGCTGATCGATCTGACCCTAAGAGATGAATCACAACCTGTCCATTTCATTTCCACTAGCCCTTTTGATCCCTCTTTTATACTAATCTGATCTTTTAATCTGCTTTCTCATATTTTCTTCATAGTTCCTTCCAGAATTTATCCTTTTAAGTGTCAAGATTTTCTTTTACATTTTAATTACCATCAAGTAAAAACAACCACATACTTTTTATTACATTTTATGTGACATCACAGCAGTAGGTATCTTATAGGCGATATAACCAATTCCCCTATGGACATCATTTATTTCAAAGGACATCTAATTGATAAATGGAACTAATGTGTGATTTATCTCAGTATAAATCCAGCTGTTCTTTCAAGGTTTAAGATGTTTTGGAGTGTTAAATAATTACTCACTAAGAGCAAGGAGGGATGTAGAGAAGTTAGAAAAGCAAGATCCCAAACTTTAACATGTCAAACATCTTGTTTCCGGATGTAATCTTAAAATGGACAGTGAACAGTACAACTTTAAAGCCTGCCATCCGAACTGACAGTCTAAGCAAAAAGAGCACTAATTAGAAAAAGCAAGCTGTTTTCTGGAGACACGACAGAAAAAAATCCAACTTCCACTTCCAAACCCACCTCAAACTGCGTTCAGTCATGATGCAGCCAATGTCTGTATCCCCCTAATATTGGATCATGCGTTAAACACATTAAGCATCAGATTTAAATAACCATCGTGCCATCTCGCTTCAGTGTTTTGCCAAGTTAGCCGATATATTTGCCTACTTAACAAGTAAATATCTTGAAATACCTAAATATTCTGATATATTTAAGAGTTAATTAT